CCGGTGCCGGGAGCTGATCCCAGGGGACGGGGTTTGCACCGGGCCCCCAGGGCCGCCCCTGCTGCTCCTGGCCGTGAAATCCCACCCAGCGTCCAGCGCCAGACGGGCCACCGCCCGCCGCACGTGGGCCCGGCCCAGGGTCCTGGGGGGCTACCAGGTCCGAGCCGTCTTCCTCGTGGGGGTGTCCCCCGACCCCCGGCACCGGGCCCTGCTGGGCCGGGAGAGCGGGGAGTTTGGGGACGTGGTGCTGTGGGATTTCGCCGAGAGTCACCACAACCTGTCGCTCAAGGAGCGCTGCTTCCTGCGCTGGGTGGGGGCGCACTGCGGGCAGGCGGATTTCATCTTCAAAGGTGAGCCCGGACGCCTGGGTTCTCGCCCCAGCTCTGGGAGGGGAGGGGGCCTGGTGGGTTAGAGCAGGGGGGGCTGGGAACCAGGACTCCTGGGTTCTCTCCCCGGCTCTGGGAGGGGAGTGTGGGCTGGTGGGTCAGAGGAGGGGGGGCTGGGAGCCAGGACTCCTGGGTTTTGAGCCATCTGCACTCTCCTCAGCGTCTTTTCCCTTCCCCAGGGGACGACGAAGTGTTTGTGAACCCCCCCGCCCTGGTGGCCTACCTGAGCCAGACGCCCAATGCCCCCCACGTCATCCACGGCAACATCCAGCGCCATGCAGCCGTGATGAGAGGGGGGAAATATCGCGTCTCCCCCGCCCTGTTCCCCCAGGACAAATACCCCTTCTTCCCCTCCGGGGGTGGGTTCATCATGCCCAGGGCCAGTGTCCCGGCCCTGGCCACAGCCTCCGAGCGCATCCCCGTCTTCCCGCTGGACGACGTCTACTTCGGCTTCCTGGTGCTGGCTGCCGGGCTGCGGTACCGGCACGACGACCGATTCCGGGTGTACGGCGTGCGGGACGAGCAGTGTCTGTACGCGGAGGCCTTCGTGGTGCATGGGGTGTCGCTGGGCAGGGTGGAGGAGGTGTGGAGAGGGTTGTACGAGGAGCGACGGTGCAACAGGACGGGGCCTCTCCCTGCTTAGGGGCGCAGGGAATGGGGCAGGGGCCTGTCCCCTCTGGGGGGCGCCGGCTCCCACCCGGCCCCAGGGCGGGGACTGGCTGGCTCAGGGGAGCGGGGAGTGGGACACGGGGCCTGTCCCCTCTAGGGGGCACCGGCCACAGGGGAGTGGCTGGGTGAGTGTGATGCTCTGTACCTCGGGGGAACTCCCATGTTCATGGTGGTAAAATGATTGGGGGGGATCCAATGCAAAGTTTGTGATGTGGGGTGTCTTCGGCAGGCTCACGCTGCACTGAACATTGTTGTTCCAGTGACGTTATAGGTTATAATTTCATGTATATAGTTATGAGCCTGAAAATGTGTCCTCGTGGCTTGAAGCAAGCTCAGGCAAAAACTGTCCAAGAGCAGAGGGGCAGTTCACACCTCATCAGGGCGTGGACGGGACAAACCCGGCGCAGCCTCACAGGAACAAAAAATGCTGGCCTAGGCAGCAACAAAAAAATCTGTTACACGCTAAAGGGAGTCACCCCACTGTGACGCTGCGCTCCATACACTTTATGAAAATATGCTAATGAGTGTGAATATAATGTAATTGGGATCTGCTTTATGCAAAAGATCTCTTGTAAGGTATCCTTACAAAGCG